AAAAAATTAGCCAGGCGTGGTGGCGCGCGCCTGCCATCCCAGCTACTCAGAGGGTGGAGGTGGAGGTCGCAGTGAGCTGAGATGACGCCATTGCACTCCAGCTTAGGTGACTGAGTGAGACTGTCTCAAAAAAAAAAAAAAAAAAAAAGAAAAGAAAAGAAAACTAAAAATAAAATGTTGCCGGAGCTGCTTTTCTTTCTTGGAGGTTCTAGGAGGGAGAATCTGTTTCCTTTCTCAGCTTCTAGAGACTGCCCAAACTCTGGTTTATTGCTCCCTTGCATCTTCAAAACCTGTGATACTGTAGTTTCCCTCCTGTTTCTGTAGGGTTTAAGTTCCACCACCCTCAGTGGATGCCTGAAACCACAATACCAAACCCTATATATACTGTTTTTTCAGTACATGTGTACCTGTGATGAAGTTAGATTTATGAATTAGGCACCATAAAAGATTAACAACTAATAGAGCAATCATAACAGTATACTGTAATAAAAGTTATGTGAGTGTGGTCGGTCTCTTTTTCTGGAAATACCTTATTGTCCTGTACTCACCTGTTTTTAAACCATGGTTGACCATGGGGTAACAAACCCTGAAATCCTGCAAAGGGAAACCTTGGATAAGTGGAGACTACTGTAGGCTTTCTCACATTGCATTACTGTTTATTCTGCATCCCTCTTATTCTTTTTCTTTTCCTTTTTTTTTTTTTTTTTTTGTAGTAGAGACAAGATCTCACTATGTTGTCCAGGCTGGTCTTGAACTCCTGAACCTTCCTGTCTTGGTCTCCCAAAGGGCTTGGGTGCCCTGCCACCCCTCTCCTACTTTTAAGGCCGCCTGTGATTACATTGACTCCACCCAGATAACTTCCTTATCTCCAGTTTGGCTAATTAGCAACCTTAATTCCCTCTGCAATTTTAATTGTCCTTTGCCACATAATCTAATTTATTCACAGGTTTAGGGGATTAGTACCTTGTTATCTTTGGAGACAGCCATTATTCTGCCTACCACAGGGGCTGTGAGAAATGAGGTCAGTGTAGAAAGGGTAGGACAGGTGTCAACCATTAAGGAACCAAGCAGTGTGACAGGCATTATGTCAGTCTCTTTACTCCAGACATTCCCAGAATTGAAGACAGGAGAGAGAATGACTTTTCCTCCTCTCTAGTGTGAGGTGGTTCTTTTTGGTGTATGTCAAATCATGTAAATTTTGCCCTGGTCAAGCAAACTCTTGGCTTTCTAGAGGTCTATGAAGGCTAGTCAGACCCTCCAACTTTCTATACAATTGCTAGGTTTAAATCAGGACTAGAGACTATATCAACTTTTTTTTTTTTTTTTTTTTTTTTGCGCGACAGGATCTCACTGTGTCACCTGGGCTGGAGTGCAGTGGTGCCATCTCGACTCACTGCAACCTCTGCCCTCCCGGGTTCAAGCAATTCTTGTGCCTCAGCCTCCCAAGTAGCTGGGACTACAGGCACACGCCACCACACCAGGCTAATATTTTGTATTTTTAGTACAGACGGGGTTTCACCATGTTGGCCAGGCTGGTCTCGAACTCCTGACCTCCAGTGATCAGCCACCTACTCAGCCTCCCAAAGTTCTGGGATGATAGGTGTGAGCCACCATGCCCAGCCAGGACTAGATCAACATCTGAAATGGTTGATCTAAGGCTGTTAGCCTAGGCATTCACCCCCTGACATTTTGCTTTTTGGCAATGACAGAAACTATATTAAGTCCTGCATCCATGGTTCTGATACAATCAAGTCTCTTGACCACCAGGACTCAGCACTGAGACCTGCCTCTTTTTATTTCTACAATACATGAAACTACTGTTGACTTTTGTCTTGAAAACATCACATAAATTCGTTAGCAGCAATTCAAGGGAGAATTTTCTATACATTCATATCTATGATAAAGTTTAATTTATGAATTAGCACAGTAAGATTAACAACTAATAATAAGGCCAGGTGCAGTGGCTCATGCCTGTAATCCCAGCACTTTGGGAGGCTGAGGCAGGCAGATCACCTGAAGTCGGGAGTTCGAGACTAGCCTAGCAAAAAAACAAAAAACAAAACAACAATAATAAAATAGAGCACATTTAAGACTTTTATTCCTGTGTTATTCATTCCGATTTGAGGTCTATACTTTCAATTTTGTACCTCCTGGCTATATTTTATGTAATAAAGAACATCCTGGTTACACTCACCCTTCCCCCAACTCACTTCCTTTGCATTCTAAGGCTGTACTATGCAAATTTCTGTTATCAAGAAACAATTTTTTTTTGAGACGGAGTTTTGCTCTTGTTGCCCAGGCTGGAGTGCAATGGTGCGATCTCGGTCACCACAACCTCCACCTCCCGGGTTCAAGCAATTCTCCTGCCTCAGCCTCCCAAGTAGCTGGGCTTACAGGCATGTGCCACCATGCCTGGCTAATTTTGTATTTTTATTAGAGATAGAGTTTCTCCATGTTGGTCAGACTGGTCTTGAACTCCCTACCTCAGGTGATCTGCCTGCCTTGGCCTCCCAAAGTGCTGGGATTACAGGCGTGAGCCACCATACCAGGCCATCAGAAAACAATTTAAACTAGACAGCCTGGCATGGTGGCTCACACTTGTAATCCCAGCACTCTTGGAGGCCAAGGTTGGAGGATCACTTGAGCTCAGGACAGCCTGGGCAACTTAGGGAGACCCCATCTCTACAAATAATAAAAAAAAATATGGTTCACGCCTGTAATCCTAGCACTTTGGGAGGCTAAGATGGGAAGATTGCTTAAACCCAGGAGTTCGAGACCAGCCTGGACAATGTAGTGAAACCCTGTCTCTACAAAAAAAATTTTTATTTTTTTTAAAAAAGCTGAACAGATTGGCACAGGCCTGTATTCCCAGCTACTCAGGAGGCTGAGGTGGGAGGATTGCTTGAGTCTAGGAGTTTGAGGCTGCTGTGAGCTATGGTTGCACCATTGCACTCCAGTCAGGGCAACAGAGTGAGACTCTGTTTCAAAACAAAACAAAACAAAAACTTCTAGAAGGAAGTTTAAATTTCAATGCTAAGTTTTCCACTTCAAGTGAACACTTTTTTCCTATCGGCTTTGAAATCTCAGAAAGGTTATTGTGAGAAAGGAGCATACTTAAGGTGGAGCATTGGAGAGGAGACTGGTGGTTTGAGAGACCTGTTATTAAAGTACCTTCCTGATCAAGTTGAACAACAACAACAAAAAATTGGCAATCTTTATGACAGTGTCAATCAAATTGTGGGCCTGAGGTGGGATGCATCACTTGAAAGCCATACTTTTGAAATACATATTTAAGAACTCTTACCTAGAGTATGATGGTGGTTACCAGAGGGAGGCTGGGAGTTGCGGGGAAGGGAAGGGTGCTGGTCAAGGGATACAAAGTCATAGACAGAAGGGATAAATTATAAATATTGAAGGTGATGTATATGTTAATTTCAGTGAATCATTCCACACTGCATACATATAAAATTACTGAATATCCCATAATTATATATGATTATAATTGGTCAAAATAAATAAAAATTTTAAAACTCTTCAATTTTATAAAACTCTTACCTAATATTAATTTTTAATATCATATGAGGATTTTTTTTTTTTAAAGAGTCTAGGCTAGAGTTACTTACTACAACCTCGAACTTCTGGGCCAAAGCAGCTCTCCTGCTTCAGACTCCCATCCCGAACAGCTGGGACTACAGATGTGCACAACCACAACCAGATAATTTTTACATATTTTGTAGAGACAGGGTCTTGCTGTGTTGCTCAGGTTGGTCTCAAACTCCTGGTCTCAAGTGATCTTCCTCAGACTCCCAAAGTGCTGGGATTACAGGCATGAGCCACCTCGTCCAGTCAGGATTTTAAAATAATTTTTTAACCTTGGAGATACCGGAATTGGATTACTCATTATCCTTGGTTCCTAATAGCATTGGTTCATGCATGTTCTGCTTTTATTTACATATTAGCTATTTACCTTTAACAATATAGTAGCCCTGATAAGCCCAACTCCTACATTGTAGGATATCCATGATCTCCTTCTCAATCCCATCCCATCCCCAAGCTTCCCTTATGTGAGATAACCATCATTCTGAATTTCATATTCATCATTCTTTGATTTTTGTGTTGTAAAATTTTAATGACTTGATGTGTACCCTTAAATGTAAGTGTGTGTTTATTTTGAACTTTTAAAAAAGGTGTCATATTATATATAATCCTTTGGGATTTACAGTTTTTCCTTACTATTATTATGATTTCTCTATATTGTGGGTCACTGAAGTTCATTCTTTTTGAATGCCATGTAATATTATGTTATAAGAAATATCACAGTTTATTCATCCAGTATCCTGTTGCTAGTTATGCAGAGCAGATCGCTTTCAGGTTCTTGTGAACTATGAAGGAGTAAATAAAGACCAACCAGGTAATTTTCTTAAAATAAATATAATAAAAAATCAAAAATATAAAATATTAAATAGTAATGTTTAAGGTGGAAGTATAAATTTCCCTGTAATCATATTCTCAGAGATAACCAGTGTTAAAGTTTGGGATATCTCTTGACTGTCTTCTTTAAAATATAATGTATACCTGTATACACATATTGTATACATATACTATATACACATTAACTTTTTTAAAACACAAATGAGATCTATAACTTGCTGTTTCCATAGCAATATATCATGGATATCATTACTTGTCAATAGGTAGAGATGTACTTTATCCTTTTTAACAATTCTTTAGTGTTTCACTGTCGACATGTCAATATTTATTCCCTAAACCTCAATTTTGGTTATTTTCGATTATCTACTATTGTAAACAATGTTATAATGCAGATTCTTGTACATACATCTTTGGGTATTTGCTTCATTATTTCCTTAAGATAATTTCCTAGAACTGGAATTGCTGTGTTGAAGGATATGAAGTTTTATTTTTATCTGTCTTCAACTTTATTTATTTATTGCTGTATATTGCCAGATTGCCCACCAAATATTAATTAATAATTTACAATCTTGGCATCATAGTATAGTTCTATGAACAGGGAATACCTAGTCCAACCTGAAGTTCAAGAGCGACTTCTTGGAGGAGGTGACCCTGGGTCTGAGTCATGGTGAGAATTTATCAAGCCTTCAAAAGAGCAGATAAATAATCCACAAGGACCCCGGATCAGAGAGTGCTCTGAGCTGGGTTGCCCCACTGTGCTTGTATCTGCACTCTCCAACACTAGGCATCATTGACATATTAAAGCTTAGCCAAATAAAATTGTTCTTTGTCATTCTGTTTTCAACTTTTACTTATTCATTAGGATGATTTCATAATCCATTTCCTGGTTTAGAGGAAACAGGAACAATGGCTACTGAGAGTACTCCCTCAGAGATCATAGAAAGAGAACGAAAAAAGTTGCTTGAAATCCTCCAACATGATCCTGATTCTATCTTAGACACGTTAACTTCTCGGAGGCTGATTTCCGAGGAAGAGTATGAGACTCTGGAGAATGTTACAGATCTCCTGAAGAAGAGTCGGAAGCTGTTAATTTTGGTACAGAAAAAGGGAGAGGCGACCTGTCAGCATTTTCTCAAGTGTTTATTTAGTACTTTTCCACAGTCCGCTGCCATTTGCGGCTTAAGGCACGGTAAGTTGAATTTGTATACTTTCCGGGGTGAGAGGGAGGGGGCAGACTTTCTGAAAAAGAAAGAAAAAAAAGAAAATTGTTGTCTTTTATTTTTGTTAGTCTTTTTCCAGAGATAATTTTTACTGAAATATGAAACAGGGAAAAACTGGAATTTAAAAAGTTTCTGAAATTTAACATCTTATTGGTTTACGGAATCGATAATTTGTTTTTCAGACTGTACTCAAAACTTGCAGTTGTTTGAATGCTAACGTAAACTGCTCATTATACTGACCGTAACATGCTGAACTCTCACAGTTGGAAGGAAAATCCTGTTAATAATAACACAATCCAGGGTTTGTTTTTCAAGTAGGTGAATTCGTGGATATTTACAGTGCCAAGACCACAAGCTGTATCTTTCACTTAGTATAGCCATTTTGAAAATACAAGGAAAATAATTTTTAACACATAGATGGCAGATCAGTAGTTTCATTTTTTTGGTGGTAAGAATGCCAGCAGCAGCTGTTTTCCAGAGCAGTTCCAGTGCTAATTCTTAAATGGTTCAAAGATAACTAGTAGTCCACGAAAAAGCAGTTCTTCCAGTTGCTTAGCAATTCTGTAAATTACTACTAGGACTAGGTGTAGCTCCTTTGCTAGGAATCTAAAAAAAATTCAAAATTATTTTAAGGGATGTTAGAGGTAGAGGCTCAGTTAAAAAGGTGAATGTTAATGATACCTAATTTAGGACAAGATTTATATGCTTAGAAATTTTTTTTTATTATTTCTAAAGCACACTATTCCAAATTAGAGCCATTTGTTTACTGATTAGAAAGTATTTGTGATCAGATTTCATTAGCAGTGGCCCCAGGAGACGTGAGTCTGTTGTGAGTCACAGTAAGTCCACAAGTAAACACTGTTCATATGATTCAAATTTTTTGTTTTACTCACTTACCCTGGAAGGTTGCTGGGAAGGACTCAAACTTTAAGCAAGACAGTGGTGTGATCTGATTTTTTATTTTTTAGTGGAAAAAAGAAAGTTCTGAAAGTTGATATGTTGACATGCAAGTTATATAGGAGGTGTTAGGTATTTCTGTCCTCCAGTGAAATAAGAGGCGGCTGGGCAATCCCAGCACTTTGGGAGGCCGGGACAGGTGGATCACCTGAGGTCAGGAGTTTGAGACCAGCCTGATCAACAAAGTGAAACCCCGTATCTACTAAAAAAAAATTAGCTGGGCACGATGGTGCATGCCTGTAATCCCAGCTACTTGGGAGACTGAGGCAAGAGAATCACCTAAACCCAGGAGGTGGACGTTGCAGTGAGCCGAGATCGTGCCATTGCAGTCCAGCCTGGGCAACAAGAGCGAAACTCTGTCTCAAAAAAAAAAAAAAAAAAAAAAGAAAAAGAAAAAGAAGAGGGATGATGCTTTGAGGCCTCAGGAACTCCAGCTATTATACAGTTTCTTTTTCTTAATTGGGAAAAACAATTCTTTTTCTTTTCTTTGCAGAACTTTTAAAATATGAGAATATAGTACCTCCTCAATCTATGGAGGCAAGCAAGAATTCAGAAGATGCTTTTTCTCCTGGAATAAAAGAGCCTGAGACCCCTGAGATCACAGTGTTCTTCAGTGAGAAGGAACACTTGGATTTGGAAACCTCTGAGTTTTTCAGGGACAAGAAAACTAGTCATAGGGAAACAGTTTTGTCTGCCAGGAAGAATGAGAAGGAATATGACACGCCAGAAGTCACATTATCATATTCAGTTGAGAAAGTTGGATATGAAGTTCCAGCAACTATTACATATATAAAGGATGGACAGAGATATGAGGAACTAGATGATTCTTTATACTTAGGAAAAGAGGAATATCTAGGATCTGTTGACTTCCCTGAAGATGGAGAAGCCACTGTGGAAGAGGAGGTTTATGATGACCCAGAGCACGTTGGATATGATGAAGAGGACTTTGAGAATTCAGAAACCACAGAGTTCTCCGGTGAAGAACCAAGTTATGAGGAATCAGAAACCAACCTTTCATTGGAGGAGGAACAGGAGAAAAGTATAGAAGGTATGGAAATACCTTGCATAGTTAGTTAGGCAACAACTTAATAAGTTAATAAGCTTGCCATGACATAATGGGGATAGGAGGATGACAAAGGCACAGATGTCAGCAGAAAATCAACTACCAAGAAATTCCTTGTGCCTCTCTGATCTGGAATCTCCTTGAAGTAGGTGTTGACTTAAAGGAGCTCCCAGGACCTACGAAATGATGGACAGCATACACAAAAGTAAATATTGATTGTCAGTTTGTAAATTTCTGTAGTTCGTATAAGGAGCTGCCAATCATTAATTTCCCATAATACGTACAAGGAGTTACTAATCATTAATTTCAGGCTAACCTATTCCTCAGGTTAAATCACTTTGTTTATTTTAATGCCTTTGTGACCAGAGAGATGTGGGAATTATGGGTTTGACTATTTAAGTGAAAACAGTCAGTAAATGGCTAAGATCCCAAAATATTGTTACTTGGCTTGATCCAGTCCACATAATGCCATCTTGATGAGAATTATATTTGTATCTTGAATCTGAATATTTCCTTATTTAAAAAAGAATGTCTTTGGGACACAGTCTCACTCAGGCTGGAGTGCAGTGGCACGATCATGACTCACCACCGCCTCTAACTCCCAGGCTCAGGTGATCCTCCCACCTCAGCCTCCTGAGTAGCTAGCATTACCGGTACCCGCCACAATGCCTGGCTAATTTTGTATTTTGTAAAGATGAAATTTTGCCATGTTGCTCAAGCTGGTCTCGATCTCCTGGACTCAAGTGATCGGCCCAGCTTGGCCACCCAAAATGCCGGGATTACAGGTGTGAGGCACTGCACCTGGCCAAATCTGAATATTTCTTAATGAAAATTCAAAATGAGAAGTGTTTCATTGGAGTGATATTGCCTGGGAAAATAAACATCACTAAGTTCTGAGTAGAGGATGAAAATGTAACTACCATCTCACATTCATTTCAAATCTTGGGGACTCGTCATCCACTTATGGGTAGGAAGAGAGTCATTTCTTCCTCATCACACCTTATATTAGTTTGTGAGGGATGCTGTAACAAAATACCACAAAATTGGTGCTTAAACAATAAACACAAATTTCTTGTGGAGGCTAGAAATCTGAAATCAAAGTACTGACAGGGTTGGTTCCTTCTTTTTTTTTTTTTGAGACAGAGCGAGACTCTGTCACCCAGGCTGGAGTGCAATGGTGCGACCTTGCTCACTGTACCCTCTGCCTCCCGGGTTCAAGCGATTCACCTGCCTCAGCTCCCCAAGTAGCTGGGATTACAGGTGCGTGCCACCACATCTGGCTATTATTTGTAGTTTTAGTAGAGACGGGGTTTCACCATGTTGGCCAGGCTGGTCTCAAACTCCTAACCTCAAGTAATCCACCCACCTTGGCCTCCCAAAATGCTGGGATTACAGGCATGAGCTGCCGCGCCTGGACAAGGGTTGGTTCCTTCTGAAGGATGTGATCTGAAGGATCCTAGCTTTCCTGGTGGTTTGCTGGAAATCGTTGACACTCTTTGGCTTGTGCAAGCATCCCTCTGATATGTCTTTACCTTCAAATAGCCTTGTCCCTGAGCGTGCATCCCTTTGGCCAAAATAAAAGACACGAGTCATACTGGATTAGGGCCCACCCTAATAACATTATTAAAACTAATTACATCTGCAGTGGCCCTATTTCCAAATAACATCACATTCTGAAGTACTAGGGGTTAGGATTTCAACATACGAATTTTGTGAGGGACATAATTCAACCCATGCCTCTTACCCCACCCCCAAATAACTTCTTAATACATGATTATTTTGGGGCCCCATTCTTAATTTTTATTTATTTATTTATTTTAGTTGGCGCATAGGGTTGAATTAATTAATTAATTCATTGCATAGTGTCATCATTATTCTGCAAAAATCCCGTTTATCTATTCTGTTTTTTTCTCCATTTCCCATTTACTTTCTTCCATAGGTAACATTCTAATATTGCAGTGTGTCTCTTACATATTGTTTTATTTTCATGAAAAATTTTCTATATCAGGTACTGACTGGATTTCACCAGGCTGTCCAGGCTGGTCTTGAACTCTTGGCCTCAATAATGCTACATAACAAATCATCTCAAAATTCAGTCACTTCAAACACTAGAGAGTTTATTATTGTTCACATGTCTGTGGTTGGCTAGGCAGTTCTCTGGTCTTCCCTGGGTTCACTCATGCATGTGTGATGAGGTAGTTGAAGGCTGGTCTCTCATCTTCTAGCAGGCTACTCTGGGCTTGTTCTCAGAATAGATGCAGTATATATATATATATATATATATTTTTTTTTTTTTTTTTTTTTTTTTTTTTTTGAGATGGAGGCTCATTCTGTTGCCCAGGCTGGAGTGCAGTGGCATGATCTTGGCTCACTGCAACCTCTGCCTACCAGGTTCAAGCGATTCTCCTGCCTCAGCCTCCTGAGTAGCAGGGATTACAGGTGCCCACTACCATGCCTGGCTAATTTTTGTACTTTTAGTAGAGACGGGGTTTCACCATGTTGACCAGGCTGGTCTTGAACTCTTGACCTCAGGTGATCCGCCCATCTCGGTCTCCCAAAGTGCTGGAATGATGGGCATGAGCCACTGTGCATGGCCAAATATATTCTTATGACGAGGGTAAAGGAGAGAGAAGGGGAGAGAGAGCAAGGTGGAGGGAGGGAGACAGAGAAGTAGTGAAGGCTTTTTGAGTCTTAGCTTGAGAACGATCATCATGCCATCTGTATTAGTTTCCTAGGGCTGCTGTAACAAAGTACCACAAATGATTGGCTTTAGAACAACAAAAGTTTATTGTCTCACAGTTCAGAAGGCCAGAAGCCTAATGTCAAGGTATCAGCAGGGTCATGCTCCCTCCGGAGGTGCTAGGAAAGGATTTGTCTCAGGCTTCTTGCCTAGCTCCTGGTAGCTTCGTGCATTCCTTGACTTATAGATGACCATTTTCTCCCTGTGTCTCTTCCATCATCTATCCTCTGTGCATGTCTCTGTGTCTAAATTTTTCTTTTTTATTAAGACACCAATTATATTGATTTAGGCCCCCCCACCCCCAAGACCTTATTTTAACTTAATTACCTCTGTAAAGATATAGATGCTGTTTATAAAATTACGCCACATTCTGCAGTGCTGGGGGACTTCATATCTTTTTGAGGGGGACAAAATTCAACCCATAACACCATTACTTCTGCCACATTCTGTTGACCAAAGCAAGTCTAAAAGCCAACCCAGGTTTAGGGTTGGGGGAAAACAAGTTCTACTTCTTGCAAAGTAAGAGAGCAAAGAACCCATAACACCATTACTTCTGCCACATTCTGTTGACCAAAGCAAGTCTCAAAGCCAAATCAGGTTTAGGGTTGGGGGAAAACAAATTCTACTTCTTGCAAAGTAAGATAGCAAAGACTATGGATACCAGAAAGCCATAAATTGGGGACATTATTACAATCAATCAAACATCTTTGGCAAAACAGATCAAGAGAAGTCTTAATAATAATGTAGTTATGATCTGTAATGTAAGTCTAATGGCCGCCCATCCACTCTAGTTGACTGGAGGCATGTGGCTATTCTTTGTTTCTTTCTCAAGTAATATTTGTCTGTGCAGCTGAGAACTGAAAAAAAAAGTTCTAACTCAAAGGGAGGTCTTCATGCTTTTTGTCATGCAAAATTTTATGTAAAAAATATCACAGTGTCAAAGTCTCAGAAAGGCTTAAACTATTGCCTTGTGTGCTCTGCACTATAGAAGGTCAACTTGTGTAGACAGTATCAATTGACTCTCTTCCCCCTCCAGCTTGTAGTTGGGTTCAACCATTGGGTGGAACTAATATGTCTCCCTTTCCCTGTGGCCTTTCTTTTTTCCTGAAGATCTAGGTTTTCATTTTATATTATTTTCCTTTAGCCTGAAAAATTTATTTATTATTTCTCTTAGTACAAGTCTGCTGGTGGTAGATTCTCTTAGTTTTTGTTTATTGAAAGATGTTTTTGTTTTGCCTTCATTCCAGAAGGTTGCTTTTGCTGGATATAGGATTCTACAACGTTTGCCTTTAACGTGTTATGGATGCCATTTCTCTGTCTTTTTTTTTTTTTTTTTGAAACGGAGTCTCATTCTGTCACCCAGGCTGGAATGCGGTGGCACGATCTTGGCTCACTGCAAGCTCGCCTCCGGTCCGCCATTCTCCGCCTCCAGTGCTGGGTACACCTGCCATGGCCTTTGTACGTGAGACAGGGTTTCACCGTGTTAGCCAGGATGGTCTCGATCTCCTGACTTTGTGATCCACCCGCCTCGGCCTCCCAAAGTGCTGGGATTACAGGCGTGAGCCACCGCGCCCAGCCTTCTCTGTCTTGTAGCTTCCATTGTTTCTGATGCCAAATCTTCAGTCATTTTATAAGTGCTATGTCATTTATCTCTGGTTGTTTTCAAGATTTTTTTCTTAATTTTTTTTTGAGCAGTTGACTCTGATGTATCTAGGTGTGATTTTTTTTTTTTCTCTTAGTGTTTGCAGAGTTTCCTGAATCTATAAAAAAAACTTTTTTTTTTTTTTTTTTTTTTTTTTTTGAGACGGAGTCTCGCTCTGCCGCCCAGGCTGGAGTGCAGTGGCCGGATCTCAGCTCACTGCAAGCTCCGCCTCCCGGGTTCACGCCATTCTCCTGCCTCAGCCTCCCGAGTAGCTGGGACTACAGGCGCCGCCACCTCGCCCGGCTAGTTTTTTGTATTTTTTAAAGTAGAGACGGGGTTTCACCGTGTCAGCCAGGATGGTCTCGATCTCCTGACCTCGTGATCCGCCCGTCTCGGCCTCTCTTTTCAGCTGTTATTTACCAAGATTTTTTTCTTTCTCACTTTTTCTCTTCTCTCTTTCTGAGACTTCAAGTACCTGAATTTTAGAGTTTTAAAAGTATTGTTCTACAGATTCCAGAGACTCTGCTCATTTTTCTTTAATATTTTTTCTCTCTGTTCTTCAGGTTGGATATTTACTTTCTTCTGTCATCTCCAGTTTGTTGTTAGCCCAAGTAGTGATTTTAAACAAATTCATATATTGTGATTTTTAATTCTAGAATTTCCTGTTTAAAAGTAGTTTCTATTTTTTTCCAGAGAAATCCTATTTAATCATTCATTGTGGATTTAATTTTAATTTTTTTTTTTTGCAGGGGGGACAGAGTCTTGCTCTGTTGCTCAGGCTACAGTGCAGTGGTGCAATCTTGGCTCACTGCAGCCTCAACCTCCCAGGCTGAGGATCAAGCCATCTTCCCATCTCAGCCTCTCAGGTAGCTAGGGCTACAGGCACAGAAAATCATGGCTGGTTAATTTTGTATTTTTTGTAGAGAGAGGGTTTTCACAATGTTGCCCAGGCTGGTTTTGAATTTCTGGGCTGAAATGATCCTCCTGCCTCAGCCTCCCATGGTTTTGGAATTACAGGCATGAGCCACAGTGCCTGACTGTAAAATTCTTATATGCTAAATCTAACATCTGGGTCATTTTGGAGTCAGTGTCCATTGAGTATGAGTTACATTTCCTACTTCTTCCTATGTCTGTTAGCTTTGGATTGTGTTCTATCCATTGTATATAATAGGTCATACTCTAGATTGTTATATTTCTTCCAAGAGTCTGAATATTATTTTGGTCTGTTTTTGTCTCCAATTAACCTGACTGCGCTTAAATTAAAAATTTAGACTCCTTTTCCATGGGTGGCAGCTGAAATCTCTGTTTATTTCTTTTTGCCTTAGTTGAGTTATTTTTATGAATTTTTAATTTATAAAACAGATTAGTTTCTTGATACTTTTTTCACCTAGCTCTGTGCTTAATTAGATACATCTCTGTTTTGTGTGTACATCTACTCTGTTGCTTTGATCTGCTCCATAGTGACACTGTTATTACCTTGTGGACATACCTGGCTTGGATACTGTGGGTACTGATGTCTTTCTTTTTTTTGAGATGACAGGCTGGAGTGTAGGGGCATAATCTCAGCTCACTGCAACCCTGCAACCTCCATCTCCTGGGTTCAAGTGATTCTCCTGCCTCAGCCTCCCGAGTAGCTGGGACTACAGGCACCTGCCACCACACCTGGCTAATTTTGATATTTTTAATAGACGGGTTGTCACTATGTTGGCCAGGCTGGTCTCAAACTCCTGACCTCAAGTGTTCTGTCCACCTCAGCCTCCCAAAGTGCTGGGATTATAGGTGTGAGCCACTGCACCCAGCCATGAGTACCAATTTCTGCCTGAAGAAGTAGAGAATTGCTTTCCTAAGGGAAAGTATGAGACAGGAAAAAGCAGAACTTAAAAGCTGTCCTGCAACCTACTCTCTCACTGCTTCCTCTGTGAACTCTTCATGATAGATTCAACTTCCCCCTCACCGTTTTGCCCCAACACATATACCAGTTCAAGCAACTTTGAGACTACTCAAAGGCTTCTTATAGTTACTTTTATTAATTCCTAAAATCCATGCTTTTCTCTTCTGTTGTTTCTTCAAGGCTATTTTTAAGGGTAATTTTACATTTTTACACTAGCTGGCCATCTGTCAGGAGTAGGAAATCCAATCTGATCTTCTCTCTCTGTTATGCACTATCTCTGTATTTATAAGAAGTAGGTAGGCCAGCCAGAGTGGCTCGTGCCTACAGTCCCAACATTTTGGGAGGCTGAGGCGGGCAGATTAGTTGAGCCCAGGAGTTGAGACCAGCCTGGGCAAAATGGTGAAACCCTGTCTCTACAAAATGAAGAAATGAAAAATTAGGTGGGGTTGATGGTGTGCACTTGTGGTCCCAGCTACTCTGAAGGCTGAGGCAGGAGGATCACCTGAGCCCAGGAAGTTGAGACTGCAGTGAGGTGAGATTGCACCACTGCACTCCAGCCTAGGTAACAGTACAAGACCCTGTCTCCAAAAAAAAAAAAAAAAAAAAAAAAGTAGAAGATAGTTTGGAAAATGGGAGATCAGGAAAAATTAGGTATAGCCTGTAAACTCTGAGAAAAACTTTGAAGGAAATAAAATCTTCAGTTCCTGTAAACTTCAGCAAGAGATAAATTTAAGAAAGAACCAGTATCGGCCAGGTGCGGTGGCTCACATCCGTAATCCCAGGACATTGGGAGGCCGAGGCAGGCGAATCAAGAGGTCAGGAGATCGAGACCATCCTAACTAACATAGTGAAACCTCATCTTTATTAAAAATACAAAAAATTAGCCAGGTGTTGTGGCACCCGTATATATGGTCCCAGCTACTCGGGAGGCTGAGGCAGGAGAATCGCTTGAACCCAGGTGGTTCAGGGTTTCACCATTTTGCCCAGGCTGGTCTTAACTCCTGGGCTCAACTAATCTGCCCACCTCAGCCTCCCAAAATGTTGGGATTGTAGGCATGAGCCACTCTGGCTGAGGTGGAGGTTTCATTGAGCTGAGATCATGCCACTGCACTCCAGCCTGGGTGACAGAGCAAGACTCCGTCTCAAAAAAAAAAAAAGAAAAAGCCAGGCACAGTGGCTCCCGCTTGTAATCCTAGCACTTGGGGAGGCTGAGGCGGGTGGATTGCCTGAGCTTAGGAGTTAGAGACCAGCCTGGGCAACATGGTGAACTGTCTCTACTAAAATACAAAAAAAAAAAAAAAAAAAAAAAAAATTAGCTGGGCGTGACAGCGGACGCCTATAGTCCCAGCTACTTGGGAGGGTGAGACAGGAGAATCACTTGAACTTGAGAGGCGGAAGTTGTAGTGAGCCAAGATTGAGCCACTGCACTCCAGCCTGGCGATAGAGCGAAACTCCGTCTCAAAAGACAACAACAACAACAACAACAACAACAAAAAACCAGTATCAACCTAGAGTATTTCTCATAGATGTATATAATTTAACCTTAACAAGATTTTTTGCATTGCTGCATGTAAATGTTAGCACATTTTTAAAAAATAAAAAACCTAAATGATCATCCATAGGCAATTGTTTAAAATAGTTACATCCATCCAAACCATGGAGTACCATGAAATAGCTAAAGTGAGTTAGGTAGATCAGTATGTATGCTGACTTGAAATAATTTGCAAGTAATACCACTAAGTGAAAAGAAGCTGAAGAATTATTTGTTTCGTATAATATCATTTATGCAAAAAAAAAAAAAATAGCATGGGCTGGGTATGGTGGCTCACGCCTGTAGTCCCAGCATTTTGGGAGGCTGAGGCAGGTGGATTACTTGAGGTTAGGAGTTGGAGATCAGCCTGGCCAACATGTTGGAAATCCCTCTCTACAAAAATACAAAAATTAGCTGGGTGTGGTGGCGCACGTCTGTAATCCCAGCTACTCGGGAGGCTGAGGCTGGGAGAATTACTTGAACCTGGGAGGTGGATGTTGCAGTGAGCTGAGATCTTGCTACTGCACTCTAGCCTGGGTGACAGAGCCAGACTCCATCTCAAAAAAAAAAAAAAAAATAGCGTCTACTAAGTAAAACTATTTATTTCTATATATGCATGCATACTTAAGTACTCGCATAGAAAAAGGATGGGAAGCAAATATACTGTACCATATTGATATCTCCCCTAAAAACAAAGATGACTTGCCAGAATGGTGAAAGGAGACTTCTACTTTATTTATATTGTTTCGATTTTTTTGCAATGAAAGTGTAGATTAGACCAGGTGTAGGGGCTTATGTCTATAATCCCAGCACTTTGGGAGGCTGAGGCAGGCTAATCACTTGAGGCTAGGAGTTCAAGACCAGCCTAGCCAACATGGTGAAATCCCATCTCTACTAAAAATACAAAAATTAGCTGGGCATGGTGGCACACACCTGTAGTCCCAGCTACTCGGGAGGCTGAGACACAAGAATAGCTTGAACCCAGGAGGTGGAGGTTGCAGTGAGCTGAGATGGCTCCATTGCACTCCAGCCTGGGTGACAGTTTTCTTTCAAACTCTGTCTCAAAGCAAAAAATGATGCAGATTATTTATTTAATTTTAAAAGTCACGCTGAGCACAGTGACTCATGCCTGTAATCCCAGCACTTTGGGAGGTTCATTTGAGACCAGGAGTTCAAGATCAGCATGGGCGATATAGCAAGGTCCCATCTCTATTAAAAAAATAAAAAGTAGCCAGGCATTGTGGTAGGTGACTGCAGTCTCAGTTACTTGGGAAGCTGAGATGGTAGGACCCCTTGAGCCCAGGATGATGATCACGCCCCTGGATTCCAGCATAGATGACAGAGTGAGACTGTCTCAAAAAAAGAAGTCGATGGGGGAAATTGAGATTCTGAACATGGCATTCACTATTATCTTCTCTCCTACAGAAAGAAAAAAGGCGTTTAAAGACATCCTGTTATGTTTGAACATGGATAGAAGCAGAAAGGTTCTGCCAGATTTTGTTACACAATTCTCCTTAGTTCGAGGATGTAAGTGGACCCCGGAGAGTGCAGCAGACTTAGCCTGGAATTTCCTGATGAAAGTTCAGGCACTAGATGTGACGGCTAGGGATTCAATCCTCAGGCACAAGGTTCTGGATGAAGATAGCAAGGAGGATTTGCTGCCTGGAGTGGAGAATTTGGAAATTCGAGACATACAAACCATTAATCCCCTTGATGTCCTTTGTGCCGCCATGCTGTGTTCAGATAGCTCTTTGCAACGCCAAGTCATGTCAAACATGTATCAGTGCCAGTTTGCTCTTCCCCTGCTACTGCCAGATGCAGAAAACAACAAAAGTATCTTAATGCTGGGGGCCATGAAGGACATTGTGAAGAAGCAGTCCACACAGTTTTCAGGAGGGCCTACAGGGGAGACAGAAAAGTTTCTGACTCTCATGAAGATGCCTGTCATCTCTTTTGTACGTCTAAGATACTGTAGCTTCTCTAAGTCCAGAATCCTCAACACACTTCTCAGCCCTGCCCAGTTGAAATCACACAAAATCTTTCTTCATCAAGATTTGCCTCTTTTGGTGCTTCCCCGGCAAATCTCTGATGGCCTGGTTGAGATAACGTGGTGTTTTCCTGATAACGATGATAGAAAGGAAAACCCCTGTTTTTTCCAAAAGCCTGTTGCTCTGGCTAATCTCCGTGGAAATCTAGAAAGCTTTTGGACTCAGTTTGGTTTTTTGATGGAAGTTTCTTCAGCTGTGTTTTTTTTCACTGACTGTCTAGGTGAGAAGGAATGGGACTTGCTAATGTTTTTAGGAGAAGCTGCCATTGAAAGATGCTACTTTGTTCTCAGTCCCCAAGCCAGGGAGAGTGAAGAGGCTCAAATTTTTCAGAGGATGCTGAACTTGAAGCCAGCACAGCTACTGTTTTGGGAAGGGGGAGATGCTGGGGACAGAAGGAAGAACATGGAGGGCCTTCAAGCTGCCCTCCAGGAAGTGATGTTCTCTTCTTCCCTCAGATGTGTGTCTGTGGAGGATATGGCCGCCCTGGCCAGGGAGCTGGGGATTCAGGTAGATGAAGACTTTGAAAACACTCAGAGAATTCAAGTTCCCTCAGGAGAAGACATTGCTGGAACAGCTGAAGATGAGGGTCAGCAAAGATGCAGTCAGCTAAAAAGCTCATCTAAAAGCCAAGCTCTAATGCCAATACAAGAGCCTGGAACTCAATGTGAGCTCAGCCAGAATCTTCAGAATCTCTATGGTACCCCAATATTCGGGCCTCTTCTAGAGAACTCCTGGCCCTTTCCAACCAGAGTTGGAGGTAACTTTAACCATGTTTCCTTGAAAGCCCCCTGGGTTATGGGCCACCCCTTTGGGTCAGAGCAGAGACCTAAGTGGTTCTGTCCTTTGCCCTTTCAGAATGCAAGGGCCCGGGGCCGAGGTAAAAGTTTTGGTATTCAATCCTTCCATCCCCAGGTATTTTATTCAGGTGAAAGATTCTTGAAATTTTCCAGAGTTGCTCGGGGAGGTCACTTGAATGGAACATTTGGGAGACCGCCAAGACCCATTTGTCAGCATGTACAGGCCTGCCCTGAGAGACCACAAACGATGGGAACTCTTGAAAGGTCTGGGACACTAGTCTCCCAGGTAGGTCACTCCTATTCCCTGGGTTCACAGCCAGCAAGAGCAGTAAGGAAGCCATGGCCTCAGCAAGCTTGTACTAGGGGAACAGAATTAACTGAAGCAACTGGAAAACTGATAAGAACATCCCATATTGGAAAGCCTCATCCTCAGTCCTTTCAACCAGCAGGAGCCACACAAAAACTAAGACCTGCTTCTCAGCAAGGAGCCCAGATGAAGATGCAGGTTAGGGCTTCAAATCCAGCTCTCCAAATAGGGTCCTATCCCATATCCAAGAGCTCTCAGTTCAAATCCGATCAGTCCAACGCATCCACAGTCAAACACTCCCAGCCTAAACCCTTCCATTCTGTGCCCTCTCAACCTACACTTTCTCAGAAAAAATCCTGTCAGTCCCAGCCCTCCCAAACTAAACCTTCTCCATGCAAGCCCACTCAACCTAAGCCAAGCCAGCCCCAGCCTCCCAAGTCTAAGCCTTCTCAGCCCAGACCCACTCAACCTAAGTCATCTTCAACCAATCCTTCACAAGCTAAGGCACACCACTCAAAAGCAGGGCCAAAGAGGGGAGGGAAGCATTAAAGAACTAAGTCCATCTTCATTACAGCTGAGTCAAGGAAAAATAGGATTGGACTATTTCTTGAGTAAGTCATCCTGTTTGACCAAATATTGTATAATAAACTTGAAATTATTAAAAAAAAAAAAAAAAAAGAACTAAGTCCAGAGATCTATAAAGCATATCCTTTACCCAGGCCATCCCAATCATATAGTAAGCAGAAGAGTTGCCATGAAGGTGAAAGACTACTGTCACTAGCATGTAAAACAAAGAAAGATATACATGACCGAATTGGATATCTTTTTGTTTGTTTGTTTGTTTGTTTGAGACAGAGTTTTGCTCTTGTTGCCCAGGCTGGAGTGTAATGGCACGATCTCGGCTCACTGCAACCTCCGCCTCCCAGGTTAAAGAGATTCTCCTGCCTCAGCCTCTCGAGTAGCTGGGATTACAGGCATGAACCACCACACCCAGCTAATTTTGTATTTTTGGTAGAGGCAAGGTTTCTCCATGTTGGTCAGGCTGGTTTTGAACTCCCGACCTCAGGTGATCCACCCACCTAGGCCTCTCAAAGTGTTGGGATTACAGGTGTGAGTCACCGCTCCCAGCCTGAATTGGGTATCTTTAAGATATCTGTGAGAGTTGTATTCATAACCAAGAAGAAAAATATGAAAATAAGACTGGAATCAAGCAGTAGATAATTGAATCCAATCTTGAGTATTATTAGATAATGTATAGCTTGCACCCAGGGAATGGGGGTCTATGAGACAGCCCCACTTGGAGAAGAATGGGGTTAGGGTCTCTAATTGCAAAGTAACTGTGAAATAGGACGAAAGTTGCCTCTGTGTCTGAAAAAGTGTCTTAGTTGTTGGCTGCTCCAGAAATGTCTTTGTCAAAAGTTTCTGGTTCAATATCAGCCAGTGAGCAGATAACCCTGCTTATTTGGTGTGGTTAAATCAACTAGCTTCTGCTAATAGCCCCAATTTGCTTGAATGGTAAAACTCTCTCATTTAACCCTTATAGGTAGAAATAATGAATTAACAGCCAATAAAATTAATTATTTGGCATTAACTTTGGAAAAGATCTATGTTTGTTTCATATTTGATACCATTTGGCTCTGTCTTCACCCAAGTCTTATCTCGAATTGTAATCCCCATGTGTTGAGGGAGGGACAAGGGACCAGGTGGGAGGTGATTGGATTATGGGGCAAGTTTCCTCCATGCTGTTCTTGTGATAGTGAGTGAGTTCTCATGAGATCTGATGGTTTATTTTTATTTTTTTGAGATGGAATCTCACTCTGTCACTGAGGCTGGAGTGCAGTGACGTGAACTTGGCTCATTGCAACCTCTGCCTCCCAAGTTCAAGCAATTTTCCTGCGTCATCCTCCCAAGTAGCTGGGATTACAGGTGCCTGCCACCACACTTAGCTAATTTTTGTATTTAGTAGAGATGTGGTTTCACCATGTTGGCCAGGCTGGTCTCAGACTCCTGATCGCAAATGATTCACCTGCCTTGGCCTCCCATACTGCTGGGATCACAGGCGTGAGCCACCACGTCCAGCAGAGATCTGATGGTTTAAAAGCGTGCCACCTACCCCCTTGTTCTCTCTGTCTTCTGTTGCCATATAAGCTACCTTGCTTCCTCGTCACCTTTCATCATGATTGTAAGTTTCCTGAGGCCTCCCCAGCCATGCAGAACTGTGAGTCAATAACCTCTTTCCTTTATAAATCACCCAGTCTCAGGTAGTTCTTTCTTTTTTTTAGACGGAGTCTCGCTCTGTCACCCAGGCTGGAGTGCAGTGGTGTGATTTTGGCTCACTGCAACCTCCGCCTCCTGGGTTCAAGCAATTCTCCTGCCTCAGCCTCCCGAGTAACTGGGACTATAGGTGCCCACCACCACGCCCAGCTAATTTTTGTATTCTTAGTAGAGACAGGGTTTCGCCATATTGGCCAGGCTGGTCTCAAACTCCTGACCTTGTGATCTGCTTGCCTCAGTCTCCCAAAGTGTTGGGATTACAGGCATGAGCCAGCACGCATGGCCTCAGGTAGTTCTTTATAGCGGTGTGAAAACAGGCTAATACAATATTTTAAATATTTGTAACAGTTAAGAAAATTGAACTCATTAGAGGGTCTGGTATTAATATACTAATACTTCATGATTAAAATTTAAAATGTTACTGAGTTTTCAATTTTAGAGTTGTAATTTTCTTAAGTTAAAAGATAAGTTTACAAAAGTTTACAAAAACATTGAAATGTTAAAGAGAACTTAAGATTCACAGAATTTATATTTTTATTAGATTCATATTATTCTAAACATTTGGGTAAATTCTGCTTGTTAGAGGCATTAAGGAAAAATAGTGTATTAAATTTAAAATATTTAAGTGACATTTAGTTAACTAGGTTTGTAAATGACATCAAGTATGGATAAAAGGACACTTTAAAAATGGGTGTTAAAATTCACTAGATTAAGAATAAAATAATAACGTTTATAAATTGAACTTAGCCTCAGTTTGTGAATTGGTAACTTTAGTAAAATTTCTTAATTTAAAGCACTACAGTAGCCCCCAAATAGTCTTTTATGTGTAAAAAAAGTACCTTCAAGTACATCAAAAAAGAAAAAGTCATATTGACAAATGAATGAGAGCTGGTCTTTGAAAAGGAATAATTAATCCTTGAGAACATTATCCTATCACAATATATTTCCTTTGTACATGTATTAAACAATCAATATTGAGTGGTTTTTTTTTTTGATGGAGTCTCACTCTATTGCCAAGGCTTGGAGTGCAATCTCAGCTCACTGCAACCTCCTCCTCCCGGGTTCAAGTGATTCTCCTGCCTCAGCCTCCCGAGTAGCTGGGATTACAGGCATGCATCACCAAGCCCAGCTAATTTTTGTGTTTTTCGGTAGAGACAGGGTTCCACCATGTTGACTGGGCTGGTCTTGAACTCCTGACCTCAAGTGATCTGCCTGCCTTGGCCTCCCAAAGTGCTGGAATTACACGGTGTGAGCCACCGTGCCTGGCCCTAAAGGAAGTATTTCTAAAGGACTGAACAAGATAAAGGAAAAGAAAATGCAAAGGAGAGTGCAGTACCTTGGATCCGGTAAAAGCACTCTATAGAAGAGAAGAAAGTACCTTCCCCAATCAGAAGAGCTGTTTGGAAATGGCCTTGGGTCTAGTTCGTTGAGGGATACAGCAGGCTACAGTGAGTGACCTGAAGGAAATAAGTATCTCCTCCCTACCTCTGGTCTGCTGCTGGTGCATCCCCTTGGCCAAACCCAGTCAGAAGCCAGAGGGTAAGGTAGCCTGTCCAGGCAGCCCATGTAGTCCAGCCTTTTAGGATTTAGAGCAGAATGGACAGTGGATTTGCAGGGCAAGCAGGAGACATCCAGCAGATTCCTCTCTTTCCATCCCATTCTTCTTTCTTTTTCTTTTTTTTGTTTCTTCCGTCTCTAACATTTATTTATTGAGCATCTATTATGTGCGAGGCTTTGGAATGTTTACAGGTAGCCAATCACATTTTTGAGTTTGTACTAGGGTTGAATGTGTCAAAGTCAAACATAGTGTTAGGAGTAGGCAGTATAGATAGCATGAAATGTTGGTTTTTTTCAGATGTATTAAGAAAGTCTGGGCCAGGAGCGGTGGCTCATGCCTGTAATCCCAGCACTTTGGAAGGCCGAGGTAGGCAGATCACAAGGTCAGGAGACCAGCCTGACCAACATAATGAAACCCCGTCTCTACTAAAAATACAAAAATTAGCTGGACATGGTGGCAGGTACCTGTAATCCCAGCTACTCAGAGGCTGAGGCAGGAGAATTGCTTGAACCTGGGGAGGCGGAGGTTGCAGTGAGCTAAGATCACACCATTGCACTCCAGCCTGAGCGATAGGGTAAGACTCCATCTCAAAAAAAAAAAAAAAAAAAAAAAAAAAAAAAGCCTGAATTCAGCACGTGAAACAACATTTTAAGAGTACCGCTGCATAAAGCACAAGTCCAACTGTACTCAGTCAAACATGGAAAAACTCAAAACTTGTTTATAAGCCAGGAGCAGTGGCTCACACCTGTAATCCCAGCACTCTGGGAGGCTGAGGCAGGTGGATCACCTGAGGTCAGGAGTTCAAGGCCAGTCTGGCCAACATGGTGAAACCCCGTCTCTACTAAAAATACAAAAATTAGCCAGACATGGTGGTACACGCCTGTAATCCCAGTTACTTGGGAGGCTGAGGCAGGAGAGTTGCTTGAACTCAGGAGGCGGAGGTTGCAGTGAGCCAGGATGGTGCCACTGCACTGCAGCTTGGGGCGATAGAGCAAGACTCCGTCTCAAAACAACAATAATAACAACAACAAAACACAAAAACTTGTTTATATATATACATTATATATATATTATTTACTACATTGAAAGCATTCAAGTTTGTACTTGACTATTTTTGTAAGCAGATGCCACTCAATGATTTACCACTTTCGACACCTGAAAATCTTATCTTCTTCTTTCTATATTGCCCAGCCTGGTCTCGAACTCATGGGCTTAAGTGATCCTCCCACCTTGGCCTCCCAAAGTCCTGGGATTACAGGCATGAGCCACCCTGCCGGGCCTGAAAATTCTGTCTCAAACGTCTTAAATTCATTTATATTTTGTACAAGAAAGTAAATAAAAGTTGTCTTTTTAACATTAAAAAAATTGTGTTCTTTGTTGAGATGCTTGAAAGGCATGCATACCAATGTGATACAAAGACTGGGTGTTGGGCAAAGTTGTGCATTTAATGAATCAAATTAGCTTCATAAACCTAGGTTTTGCCTGTTTCACTTGATCTCCTACATTTTCTTAGGTATTTGAATTTTTCATGGTCTCTTCTTGTGATTAAGGTGTTTGCTATATAGGATTCACAGAACCAAAATATTTGGTGGGGAAGATAAACATCATTCTGATTGCCAGTGGTTCAGTCTGACTTAATAAGTGCCTTTAAGTGCTAATTAGCTAAGGGCATCTTAGCCTTTACTCTAACAAATACCAGTGCCTTCAAGTGCTAATTAGCTACTAGTATTTATTAGAGTAAAGGCTAAAATGCTGTAGTAAAAATAAGGCAAAAGTATAATGGCTTAAATACTATGGGAACTTATTTCTCTCTCATGTAACACTTCAGCCTGTCTAGTTTGATGGAGCAACTTTTCTTAGTAGGGTTAATCAATAACTAAATTCCTTCTGGTTTGTTATTCTTCCATTTCCTTGGGCATCATCCTGTTCTGTATGAATGAAGCTGGTCTTTCTCATTTCTTTGATTCAGTTTACAAAACAACGAGAAAAGGCAAAGTTCAGAGGGACCAACTTGACTTTAAGTTAGAGATGACTTGGAAATGTTAGATGTTTTACAATCAGCTCCCATTGGCTCAGACTTGGTCATATGGCCATATGTAGCTGCAAGGGAGGTTGGGAAATGCAGTTACTAGTGGCATGACTGTGCATCCAGGAATAAGAGGAGGAGAAACAGTCAATCACAATATTGTAGAATATCAAAAACACCAGGTTGGGCATAGTGGCTTACACCTGTGATCCCAGTACTTTGGGAGGCTGAGATGGGAGGACTACTTGAGCCCAGGAATTTGAGACTAGCCTGGGCAACATAGTGAGGCCTCATCTCTACCAAAAGTAAAGAAGATTAGCTGGGCGTGTTGGCATATGCCTGTGCTCCTAACTGCTTGAGAGGCTGAGGTAAGAGGATCCCTTGAGCCAGGGAGGTTGAGGATGCAGGGAGCCCAGATCGTGCCACTACACTCCACTGTGGGCAACAGAGTGGGATCTTGTCTCAAAAAAAGAAAAGAAAAGAAAGAGGCCCAGGTAAAGTCAACAGATAGTACCCCAAAACAAACATTGATCACAATTTACTACTTATAGACGATACATTATTTTAGTGATGGGGAGTGGTAGCAATGGTCTAAATTGAAGAGCAAATTTTGAATGATGTTTCAATGACAAAAAATTTTTAGATTGTACACTCGTTTGATAAAGGAATGTTGCTATTGTGATCTGGGTATGGCTGCTCCTTACCCTAAAGCACACATGAAAGCTGTGAAAGT